ATTTTTTTTTTTGACAAAAGAATAATGATGAGGGCGAGATTCAAGCCTAAGGTCCTTGTAATAAACTATTAAGATTTTTATCAACAAATTATCATACATATTAATTTTTTCTTTTTTTTTCTCAATCTCATTATCTTTTCCCTTATTGCATATCAATATTGAGCTTCTTAGAGCATGTCATATGTTTGAATGATTAAAATTAATCCTAGATACTTTTTTAATTAGTCAGAAATAATAAGAAATCAAAAACGTGTATAAATATTTTTTTTTGGAATTTAAACGGACTCTCTTGATATAAAAGATCTTAGATAGTAAATATATTAACAATATAACTTAAGGCCCTAAGTTCAAATCCTATATTTATCTTTTCCCCTTTGTAAAAAAAATAAAAATCAAATCACAACTTTTAACGAAGTGCATCAACATTGAAATAAGCATTATTTTTTAGCATATGAATTAATCATACAAATAAGCATAATTCTAGAGCAGATGAAGTGCACTTCACCATAATGAAATGTAGCCTTCAAAATTGTACAAAGATATTTTTCAAAAGAATAATGATGAGGGTGAGATTGTCATTGTAATAAACTATTAAGATTTTTATCAACAAATTATCAATAAGAAGGTTACAAATTAATTTTTTTTTTTGTTCTTAATTTCATTATCTTCCCCCTCATCGCGTATCAATATTCAACTTGTTACAGTATGTCATGTGCCTTTTTTGTCTTATTCGAGCAACAAAGTCGGAAAGCTATAGCAATGTATTATAACACGTTACAATAGTAATGATTTCCCTTTTTCTTTAATGATCCTCTTTTCTCTTTTCAAGCAACCAAACCTAGCAACTGATAGGTACAAGATAGCACTCCCTCTTTCTTCTTTTTTCCTATGCATTAATCATTATAAGATCGAACTATATAATAAATAGATATCAAAATTCAGAGTAGATTAAACTATATACAATAATAATCATAGATTAAGATTCATAATTTGTATAATCCAAAAACTTGGAGAAGAAATCATAAAATAAAAATAATCATAATTGTTACATAGTCCTCAATATGATCTTGGTCCCTTATTCGAGTGTGGATCCAACAAACAAAATTTTCTTTCCAATCTAAAGATTCCCTACGAGAGAGTTTCTTCCGATGACCAAAAGAAAGAGGCTTTTGTGGGAAACAATAGACCGTCACGTACTAAAACTTCTTAATATCTTACTTTTTCGCGTGTGTTCTCTTTGGTACTATTAATTATCCCTAAGTCCCAAAATAAATCTCATGGGTATTAAATTCTTTTCCAAGAAAAATGTTTGGTCTTCTAAACTTGATATACCTGAATTAGAGAATAATTGAGGGTAATCTTCATAACCCATACAAGTTCCCACATAGTTTCTATTTCACTTTGATTACTCCACAGCACTTCGTATTGTTCATCTTCTATCAACAATGCAAATATGTTTCTCTTGATATAACAAATCTTTTTCCAATTGGTCGGGTGCAAATTTGATTACACAATCTATATTTTAAATATATTTTCTCAATATTAACAAATGAAATACATAATGAACTCCAGCAAAGTCAAATGGTGAAACAGGTTCATAAGTTACTTATCCGATCCTTTCCAAAATATCAGATAGTCCTATAAATTTAGAAGTCGATTTAGTACATAATCTAAATCTCCAGGGAAAAGGTTTAGGACAACATAATCTACAAAGTTGAATTTCAAATTACATCTTCTATTATTCGCATGATGCTTTTAATTGCATTGTGCTACAAGAAGGTATTCTCTAATCAATTTGCTCTTACAATAGTTTATTCAATTAGATTAGATATCAAGTACTTTCAATCACTGATATCATCTCAACATACAAGTAATATATATTTTCTTCCATATAAGGGTTCAAACCAAATCAATAGCACAAACTTCAAGATTTAGATTAAATCTATTTATGGATAAAAAATAATATTAAAATTTAGATTAGTCACTAGAGATTTATGAATTCTTTTTCAAGTTTGAATTAGATCTTAAGTCTTTTGTCTAATACAATAGTCACTAGTACCTTACAATTTTTTTGAAATATTTTTTTATACTTTCTAATGAAGTATAATTCCTAATAGCATTAAAATTAGTTGATTTGGTAATTCTGATCAATAATTACCTAATATCATCATTTTCATTAGGAGTCTTTTGGTAATTATATCATACAATCTATAGATATATCTTGCTTCTCCTATTGGGATAGAAGTAAAACTCTAAGATAGCTTCTTATGCTCAAATTTTACTTGTTGATAAGAAAAATATTATGAAACAAAATTTTCACTCTTCTCATGATATTCCATCAAAAATTTTCTTTTACATATCCATACATCTTAGTTTCACTTGGGTGCCCTGTATAGCCTGTGTTATAAGCTTCTCTTATTATTTTACTTTTCATGACTAATTGAGATCTAGCCTTAACATCATCTTGAATTTTAGTCCAGCATTATTCACCTAAGTTTTTTTTTAATTCTTTCTATTAAAGTAGGTTTAATGGTACAATTAGCAACCTGAACCCTTGGTGTATGCCAATATACACTAATTCCCAACTTTAACATGCATTTGATTGATGATCATAACTACAAGATTAGTTATACTCTTTCTATAAAGTACATCAACAACAACATTTGCTTTATCAAGATGATAATTTATAATTAAGTTATAATCTTTTAATTCAGTCCATCTTCTTTATCTTAAATTTAGTTTTTTCTAAACAAAAATATACTTCAAACTCTTATAGTCGATAAATATCTTATAGTTATCATCATATAGATAGTTTCTTTATATTTTTAAAGCCAAGAATACTATTTTCAATTCAAGATCATGCATAACATAGTTCTATTTATATAATTTTAGTTGTATTAAAATATAAGTTTTATACCTTTTCATATTACATCTGAACACATCAATTGTGCTCTTGAAGCATCACCCTATATAGTGAAGCTTTGCCAGAAGGCATAGCAAAAAATAGGAGCAGATACCAATCTTCTTAATTCTTAAAAACTCTCTTTACGATTCAAACCTAGTTCTTTTCTATGTCAAATAAGTTAAAGGTATGACAATATAAGAAAATCCTTCTACAAACTTTATATAATAGCCAAGCAATCCTAATAATATCTCGGATACATTAGTAGGTTGATTATATTTAACAACATCTCTCATTTCGATTGAAATTCCTTTTTTCTAGAAATCAGATGACCTTAGAAAGTGATCTTCTACTAACTACAATGCATATTTCTTAAACTTTATATATAACTTGTGATCTCTTAGAAATTATAAAATAATTTTCAAATATGTTTTCTACTCTACTTATAGAATACACAAAAATATCATCAATGAAAAATCTAAAAATGGCTTGAAAATTCTATTTATTAGATTCATAAATATTGTAAGTGCATTAGTTAATCCAAAAGGTAAAATAAAAAATTTATAGCATCCATATCTGATTTAAAAGGTAGATTTAGGTGCCTCTTTTGCTTTTAAATCATTAATTTTTAGTAATAAATATCTATTCATTATTTAAGTCATGATATTAAATACAAAGTTTGAAACTTTATTTAAGTCATGATAATAAATAATGAATATCTATACTTTATTTAAGTCATGATAATAAATACAAAGTCTGAAACTTTCATCTTGTTTTTTCACAAACAAAACAAACGAGACATTGGATCTAATAAAACTTTTATGAGTAATTCTTATAATTGCTCCTTCAATTCCTTTAACCAAGTTTATATTACCTTGCTTAAGGTTTCTATGGCTAAATAATATTGCATCCCTTCCTCAATTAAGTGCTTACCTTAAATGTTGGTAAAGTAGTCATGAAAACTAAATTTAACCTTGCTTGGAATTTGAAATTTTATAATTTTCAATGGAGTATCAATGGATAATTGAACATCTAAGGATACATGAATCAAATTATACGTCTTAACAAAATTTATAGATAAAAAAGAATAAGTGGCACTATAATTAAATAATAATAAGGCAAATTTAGAAGATATTAATATGATCACTGATACCATGATATTAGAAATTTAAACATCTTATAGCATCATGACATAAACTTTTTCTGATATAGTAGTATCATGATTGGGCCTTCCTAATCTATGTTTGTGCATAATTTTTTTCTCTTGAGGTTATCGAACTTCACTATCAATTTTACTTCCAACATGTGATGATCAATAATCCTTTATAATCTTTTTCTTTTTTATAAACTTAAAAGAAAACCTTCACACTTAATCTTTTATAAAAGAGCTCTCACCTTCTACTACTTATAATCAAAACTAAACTCGAAGAAAAAAAAAAAAAGACTCAAACAATACTCAAAGAGAGATTTATAATATTTTATAAACTTAAAAATTTGTATTTAATCAATCAAGCTAGAGTGAGATATTGGTAGCCACTAAAAGGTCTTAAAAATAAAGTTAAAATTTTAAATTTTTAAAAATTTGAGTATAGGAGACACTATCATTAACTTTATAAGATATTACTATTGTAATTTTTGATACGGTGTCACAAAACTATACTTTGATAATCTTAACATTGCCATAGGTGGTACCACCATCACCCTAGGCAATACTACCACTATTGTAGATGATACCATTGTCATAATTGTTGATAAAGCATAATTAGTACTTATCTATTGACTCAAGCGGTACCACTACTTGAGTCTAGCGATACAACCACTCCTAGGTAGTTTAAGCTACGTGTTTGGCCTTTTAATGGGCCCATTTATAGTCTAAACTTGAGCCTAATGACTGGTATAAACTTAGGTTCTAATTTAGCCGAGTATCAATTTAAATTAGTCTAAAAATGATCTCGGCAAAGACCATAACTCATCAACTACTTATCTGATACTTTTTCAAAGCTTTCGGCATATTATTTGCTATTTTAGTATGTCATTCAATTTTTTGATACTTTGTTCGAACCTCTGGTATATTTCTCTATCATCTAATATATTGCATAATCCTTAACATGCTAACTTTGCCATGATATTTGATCTTCCAATATCGTATCCAATTCTTTTAGCACAATACTCGAACCAGTTATTCGAAATCTGATTGCTAGCATATCAACCAATCTTTTGGGTCCACATCTAATTTCTACTACAACAAGTTTTCAATATAATTTTTAACTCTTTAACTCAATATTTGGTCATTCAATGGTCTAAGTCTATAGTCAAATTACTTCTTGCTCTCTTAT